TTACTTAGAATTAATTGATCGATTATTATGCGAATAGAGACGGAAATAATACAAAAAGTAAAATTACTTTTAGAATATAGAAGACGAACCAGTTATTCTCTACTGCTGTTTCGTTGATTTTTACAATTATATGAAGCATCGGAAATTATTGAAGAGACCATTACATGAATTTAAAGTAGTTCATGTAATGTGATACTAGTGAAATTAATGAATCCATAAGAGCATTTATGCGATCTGAAATTTTTGAAACGATGGGTGACATCTACACGCAAGTATTCAAAATTCTGGCTATTGGGAAGAGCACAAACAGGCTATAGAAAGCACATCATTGGCACAGATGAGGTATCAAAGTATAGTAGGTCGGACCCAATATGGGATTTCGATCACATGTTCTGAATTACCGACATCGCTAAAAACCAGAGATTTTCGCGCGCCCTCTGCCGAAATGAAACAGTCAGCTGGAGAACTACGTAAGACACAGAAATTCCGTTTTTATATTAATGTCGTCGGCTCTAAAAATACAATATGATTAAAATGAGACCAAACGTTATATAGTTTGGATAAATATTTCTAATTAAAATAAAATCAAACACGATATAATTTCGATTGCATTTATTTATTTAATACTTATTCTGTAATTCATTTTATTCCATTATCGCTGTGACTATGTAAGAAAAATACATTGTGTTGAGAACTCTAGATATACATTGAAAGGATGAAAAGGTTGGAGAGTGGACTGTGTGGTGAAAGGCACTGATTTAATGAATCGAAATATATTGTATAAATTAGATCGATACAAAGGAAGGAAGGAAATGTTTGATAGAGTGATGAAGTGATACAGAGGATGATATGTCGTGAAGTTCACGAGTGATGCGATCAAGCGTTGTATCACAGTTACAAAGCTGTAGCGAAAGTTGCAAGAGCAAAAGTGTAACACGAACCTAGGCTACAAGCGTAGAGGAATTACAAACGTAACGCGAGTTGCAAGCGGAAAAGTATAGAGACATTGAAAGTTCCTGCAAGCGCAGAAGAGAATTACAAGCGCAACTAGGTTAGTGTAACTATAGTTGATAACTGATAGCTAATCGCAACTGGTGGAATAAGTTGCAAACTGAAAGTGTGTTACAAATAATAGAGTGCGAACACAGCGATAACTAATAATCGTGTAACAGAAACGTGTAGCAAAACGTACAGACTGCCGATAACTGACAGCCAACTCACAGCGATTGTGGTGCGAGGGTCTATTTATATCGCCGTGGGCCATCGGTTAAGAAAGGAGGAGGAGTGGGGTTTTTGAATATTGGAAGGACTAAGCATTGCTGAACGCGTTCGTTACAGTGTACGAGGGCAATACCCTAACGAACGGCGCTACACAGAAAATAACGGAAAATAGGTAACAGATTTGTTACTGAGATTATTAGAAGGATGGTCCAAGCGACGAGTACAGTAAATTCTCCCCAATTGTTAAGCCCAGCTTGTAAACAAAAATGGACAACTTTGAAAGAGGGCATACAATAATTCAAGCCTCGCGGCTCGTTTTTATAGTTGTCGATTGTTAACAAGCTGAAGGAAAATTCGGAAGAATTTACTGTATTTACATCGACGATATAAACAAGGCGACCGTCTAGGTCGCGGGTCGTTCACCTGGGCCGGCGTCGAGCTCGAACGGCTAGGCTCGACGCTGCGTACAAAAACTGACAACGCGCGAGTGTTCTTATACACCGATCCAGGTGACTCGAGAAAAACTCTAAAAGAGTGGTTTGAATTGTAGACACACATGGTGTGTTACACGCATAAATAACAATACATATAAATAATATACTAATGTAATCTATTTATCACAAGTGTAATCATTATGTTTACATTCAAAAGTTGCATTGATATTATACATAATTATGCATATGTGCTAATTAGGTAAATGAAAAATGATATTCTATACTAAATTGTTTTGTGGCATATCATCCATGGAATCGTGTAGTAACTTGGCCAACGGTGATGGTTCTCCTTTGTTTTCCTAATAACAAATAATGTAAAAACATTGATTTATAAATAATTCATATTCAAATTGACTGCAAATTTTTACCATTGTATGAATACGTACTTATTCAATTTTCCTTGCCCAAGAAAAATATTTTTAGTCCCTGTACCATGCATTGTATGCAAGTCGGTGCTTTTGCACTGTAAAATGTCAATCTGTCAAATATTACTCGTAATTCATTGTCCCCAATTTCTTCATAAATTATTTCTTGTGGTTCTTCTTGTATTTCTGTCGTTTCTTCTTTTATTTCTATGTTTTCGTCCCCTCTTTCTGCTTCCTCGCAGTTTAAGAAATATTGTGTAACATACGCCGGGGTGCATTGTTCTCCTGTGATCTCACTCATCATGCACTGCCAATTAGGTTCAAGCTCTATTTTCGGCCGAATGGAACAACCAGCAGGATTAATAATCTTATTCGATGCATTTTTAATGTCACTTTGTGTAATTTCTGACCAGGATTCGGATAAAATGTCAATACAGTTTTTTATTGTGTAGTCGGCATAAAATTCATTTATTCCCCCATCATACGTTAAAACACGTTGCAGGAGTTTCTGGCGGAAAACCCTTTTTGTTTTCTCTATTATCCCTTGATTCATCGGTTGAAGAATAGACGCTGTATTGGGTGGTAAATATATAATTTTAAAATCTTCATCTTGTTGTAGCGAAACTTTATGGGCTTCGCAATTGTCTAACAATAGGATTACTTTCCCTGATATTTGCTTTTCCTCTTGATATCGTTTTACAGATGGTTTGAAATGATTTTCAAACCAATCTAAAAATAATGTTTTGTCCATCCATGCGTTTGTCTGCGATTTAAAGAATACAGGTAACGAAACTTCGTGTTTCAAAGCTCTTGGGTTTTTATATTTGTAAATTACAATAGGCATAATCTTATGTGTGCCTAATGCATTTGCACATAGGCCAATTGTAATTCTATCTTTTTTCGCCTTATGTCCACTAAGATTTTGTTCTTCTGTTTTCGTTGGAAGAGCCTTCCATACAAGTCCACTTTCGTCCATATTGTAAACATTCTCTAAATTTACATTTTCTTCCTCTATTATTTTCTTAAAATTAATTACAAAAGCATCTGCTCCATCCTGATCAGCATTACCTTTCTCCTCGTACATCTTTACTAAGCGTATGCCATGACGTCTTTTAAATTTGATTAACCAGCCACGACTCACTTTAAATCGCGAACATGATGGCAAATTTTCTTTTATTTCCGTCGCCTTTTGTAACATGAGATTGTCTGTTATACGGTCACCAAGCGTTCTTCTTTGCACGTACCATGCCAATAATTGTTTATCCACTTCGTTATATACTGGCTCTATTATTCTTTGTCGCTTAAGTTCGCGTTTACTTTTATCTGCAAACTCATTAATTTTTGTAGCATTGTTTAAAATGTGTCGGACTGTTTTGATTCCAACGCCATATTTCATTCCAATTTGTTTAGATGACAATCTTGTTTCTCGAAAATCCTTCAAGACATCCAAGCGTTGCTGCATGTTTAATAACGTATATTTTTTTCTTGGTGCCATAATATTAATATTAAAGATATGTGTATGTATTTAGAGATAAAACGATTAATTAATTGCCACAATTTATATATCACTTATTATTAACCGCTTCGCTCCCATGGACGTGTTCTGTCGCGACACCGATACTGTCCGTACGTATGTCACAGACGAGATCTCGCGACGTAATGCCGCTTGTGCGAGGCCACGGCCGTGTTAGCCCACGACGCAATACCGTTCGTGCGGCCTCCGGCATGTGGCCTCCGAATTGCCGTCGGAGCGAGGCATGTGGCCTCCGAATTGTCGTGGAACGTAGACCCGAATAGCATAAATCCACTAATACATTTTTTTGAACGACATACATATCTTCTTTGACATTGCCTTTAGTATTTCTCCAATGCTTTTTTGTGTAATGAAATAAAATAAGTTACTTGCTACGTATAATGAATAAATATGTCGTGTTCGGTATCATTTTAATGGGAAGAATCTGACCAATATATTAGAAAAATTTTCACGTATGAAAAGTTAGACATAAACAAGTTAAGTCATCGTTTTTATTCTAGCAGTACAATGTATTTGTATTAATGAACACCTGCATGCTGGCCGCTGGCTTTTTTGTCGACTGTCCCGAGTTTCGTTCTATCTTTTTCTCTCACACAAGATGACGGCAACTATAAAGACGAGCGGCAAGGCTCGTAGAATCGTGACTGAGTGTGAGTGTCCTCCGATTACCGTTTTCAATTCCGAGCTCCGGGCCTTCCAGGTAGAATTTACTGTAGTAGGTTTCGCAACGCTATAATGCAAATCGCGATGTGCCCATCCGAGCTGATCGTTGGACCTTGTCCACTGTTGCAGCCGCAGCATGGACGCTTAAAATGTCGAGTGCAGCTACTGCAACGCGATTATTTCGTCGCAACGCTAATTCAACGAATAGAAATCCGATAGATTACTTTATTTTCCAGAAAGTACAAGTCTGTAGACTTTAAAAAAATCGAAGAAAATTAACAGACCACGATTACATATCTTTGAAGTTAGTCTACACAGCAATTATTGGCAACGCTAACTTCGATGTCTATTCGAAATTAGCTATAGCAACGCGTGATTACATATTTCGCAACGTTACACAGTGTAACGAGAATATGGGCGTTCGGGACAAAATTCATAATTTCTAAACTAATTTATTTTCGACCTAGGACTTCTAATATTTGTTTAAAGAGGATACAAAGATGTATCGATTTATGGAAAAAGATACAATCTTAGTATTAAAAAATTAAGATGATCTTAATATTAATAATGATTTCGACTATTTTCTCCATTTTGAGCAACTTTGAGCAGTTAAATTTCACGTGAATATGAAGTTTAATAAACATAACAAGTTGATAAACATTTAACATACAAAATTGGAACAAATTGTTAATATTGTAAAATAATTGTTCTGCAACTTGGAAGGTCTTATAATGCTAAAGATAATTTATAAAAATCAGTTTAATCGGATAAACATTCGACGAATGGTAGGTGTTTAAAACGTGCACTGAATATTGGAACAAATTTCAAGCATCATTTTTAACAACAAACCGGAAAATTCAGTAAAAATTGTGGACAGTGTTAAAAACTACGTTCCTTTATTAGCATTTTAAGATACAATGAGCTATGAATTCTAGACATCAGTTTTTTTTATTTTTGTCCATTGCTCGTAACACTGTACATTATGACAAACCGTGGACATGTCCATCTGTGCTGTTGTTGGGGCGTTGTGGCCTGCCCTTTGTTGCAGCTGCAACATGGGCGCCTGTGAAGTCGATAACCAAACTACATATTACAACGCGGTTATGTCGTCGCAACACTAATTCAACGAACACGGATCCAAAAGACTAGAATTTGTAGAAACAAATGAATCGAAAAATCTCCAAAATTTAGCAACTCAAGGCGGGATCGTATTTACAGTAATCTCTCCCCAAATGACAAATTTTTGCTATTCCATGAATGTCGCTGTGCTATTGCTACGGCCCTGTAATTTATCGATTTTCTTGCTACGCCGATGCTAAGATTCGACGGAGTCGGCGAACACGTGTGCTGCGGCACGCGCTGCGGCTCCTGTGACTCGAATTCCCAGAAGACAACTCATAATACAATAACATAACTTTTTAAATTTTGACATTTTAAAACTGAAGTTTTTTTAAACATATTGCTGATAGTTTTCTGATTAAAATGAGACCAAACATGATATAGTTTGGACAGATATTTCTGATTACGATGAAATCAAACACACGATATAATTTCGATTACATTTATTAGTAAATAAATTATTAGAATAAAATGAATCACACATTAAGTATTATACAAATAAAATGAATTACACATTAAATATTAAGTATAATATTATCGCATATTACAGCTATTATCGCTGTGATTATATAAATAAAACACATTGTATTAATAATAACTGTACATCAAAAAGTACTGATATTATGCATAATTAGATAAGTGCAAAATTATATTCTACATTAAATTGTTTTGTTGCGTATCATCCTTGTAATTGTTTGGTAACGTGGCCTACGGCGATAGTTTTCCTCTATTTTCTAATAGCAAATGATGTAGAAAAAATTAATTTTTTAAATAATTCATATTCAAATTGGCTGCAAATTTTTACCATTGTATGAATACGTATTTATCCAATACTTCTTGTTCAAGAAAAATAATTTTGATAGTATAGCGAACCGTTCCTTCACACTCTCCGACAAACGCGCAGGTTTGTCGAACATTCGTCGAATGGAGGCATCTGTTCTCCGAATGTGCGTAATAGAGGCATCTGTTCTTCGAATGTGTGTAATAGAGGCATCTGTCTTCCGAATGTCGGTCGAACGTAGGCTTGAATACCATAACTTCAATGACATTTTCCTTCAGTGACATACCATACATACCTTCTTTGACGTACATATTACGGTCGTAATACAGTTTCAATTCCGACCCCGCGACTTTTAGGCGGAGATTACAGTATTCGCAACACTATCTTTAAAGCTACTGCGCATATCAATCGAAATGAAATCGCGGCTATTTTATTCGCAACGCTACACTCTAAACTGTAAACAATTGACAGTAAAGTTAAAAGAAATTCCGGCTGTATCATCGCAACGCAAGTTTTGATTTCTGTTTAAAATCGACTGAAGTAACGCGTATTTATTTCGCAACGCTATCGCAAGTCGCGGACGTGCCATTTGCGCTAATCGTTGGGTTGACGAAGCCAGCCCAAATACTAATACTACAACGATTACTATAACAACTACTATTACTATTGCAGCGTGTACAGTGACAAAGCAACGTTACATATACGTAATAATTTACCTAACAAAATACATAATTTTTATTTTACGTCCGTAGAATTAACCTGAGAATAAAAGATCTGAAAATCCTAGATAAAAAGAGTTATTAGTTTGATTTTATTCTTCAAAATGAATCTGTTTTGGTTGCAATTAAAATTTGTCAAGCTATAGTCGAGAATTGAATACGCACGAGCGTATTCAATACTCGAAAAGAAAAAGTAGTGGTAGTTGAATTCACAGAGAAAACGCGAATTATTGAAAAATGCACACTGTAACAAGTACGCACAGTTCCGGGGGTAATATTCACGGATGTATGTGTGACTTTTACTGAACCCAATGTTCGGCGAAGTAAAATAACAGAATCACTCTCTAAATGACGCGGGGTCGGAATTGTAACCAACAGATTTGAGAATAGTAAATCAAGATTTTTCGAGCCTCGGGGCTCGCTTTTACAGTTACCGATACCACGTGAGAGAGGAGAGGGAGAGAGAGAGAGAAAGAGAGAGAGAGAGCAAAAGAGAGAAAGAGAGCGAGAGAGAGAAGGAACCTACTTGGAAAGGCAGCAGTCAGCATGCCGGTATACATTACTATGAATACATTGTAATACTAGAATAAAAACGACTTAACTTTTTTATTTCTAATTTTTTAATATATTGGTCAGATTTTTCCAATTAAAATGATACCAGACACGACATGTTTTGAATATTTGAAGGATAAATGTAAAGGAAGAAGTTGCTTCAAATGTTCCGAGGAACCTGCCATTTCCGGATTGCGAGACATTTTTGGGACACCCTGTAGACTGT